TTCCTCATGAACATTGTTTTCGTTAGATTCAGTTGAAGACCAATCTTTCCACAGGCGTTATCGAAATCGGTCAACATTCGTTCCGCTTGGCTGATGTTTGGTGTTATGAGAACGATATCGTCAGCAAAGCGAAGATGGTTTAATTGTCGACCGTCAATTTTCACTCCCATTTCGTCCCATTCCAATGTTCGCATGACGTTTTGTAGGGTGGCAGTGAATAGTTTTGGCGAAATTGTATCGCCTTGTCGAACCCCTCTTCTTACGTCAAGTGATATTGTTGTACAATGCAGATATTTTGGTCGTCAAATCTTTATAAAGCTTACGAAAGATCATTATGCACCAAGTAGGGACGCCATGGTTATCCAGAGCCTCTATAACCGCTACTGTTTCCACTGAATCAAAGGCTATCTTCAGATCGATGAATGTGAGACAGAGTGGCTGTTTGTACTCTGAAACTTCAATGAGTCTTGTGATCGTGTGGATGTGGTCTATGGTACTAAATCCTTTTCGGAACCCTGCTCGTTCGCATGGCTGTCCTTCGTCCAGTGTTTTGTCAATCCTGCTTAGGATGACTCGAGTAAAGAGTTCATAGACAACGGACAGCAAGCAGATTGGGCGATAATTGCCTATGTCGTGAAGGTCTCCCTTTTTGAACAACAATACGGTCTTGCTGGTTTTCCGTTGAATAGGGACCTTGCATTCTGACAAGTAGCGAGTGAAGACCGAGTTAGGGTGTTGATGAGAACTGGCGGCAGATTTTTCAGATGTTCTGGTCTAATCCTGTCTGGACCTGGTGTTGTTCTGTTCTTCACCGACGATATAGCATGTCGGATTTCGGAAGGGAGGACCGGTGGGATGACATATCGTCCTCTTTCACTTTATATGACGGTAAGAGGACATGGCTAGCGAAGAGATCCGAGTAGTCTTGGTGGATGGTTTTCTCCATAGCCCTTCTCGAAGCTGTAATTGTCCCGTCAGGGTTTCGGAGTGCAATCAACTTGGTCTTATTGTTGGCGAAGCCTCGCTGGGATTTGCGAACGCTCTTCCCAGCTTCTGCCAAAACTGCGGCTCTTCTCTCTTTGAGGTCTTCTTTTATCGCTTCTCAACGTTGCCGTAGGGAAAATAAAATTGTGTCGCATACGCGATGTGCATTATGGTGCGCGATTATTGTAGAGCAGAGCTCTTCTTCTGGACCAACAATGGTTCGATAGCGTAAATTTTCAAGAGTTCGAAGAACACTTAGTTTTTAAAGAGGTTTTTTTCGGCGCTGTAGCAAGGAAAATAAAATTGTGTTTCACGCGAGTCGTCCTCCATTGGGTGAATTTTTGCTATTCATTTGAAAATTATTTCTCTTTGAAAGATCTTTGGAATTTCTGTATTGAACTGTGAAAGAAACTTTATTCGACCTTTCGCTTCAAATGTTTTTGTCATAAACTATGCTCAACTTCCAATATGCCTGATTTTTATTGTAAACCATCCATGTTGTTTGTTGCAGGGAAAGTTGAAGAACTCGATACACGTGTTTCGACCTTGACAATCTCATCAGTAAGACGGTACCCTTCGTCTATTGCCGATCCTCTCTGGGTGCATCAGTCGTCTATATTAAGAGTTATTACAGAAACTTTCTTCCATTGTTATGTAAGATTAGGTTTTTCATTTTTGCTTTATTTTGTCAAACAAATCCACTATCAGGACTTTACCTAAGATTGAGCTGATGCAGCCCAAGCCTATGAAAGAAAATCATGTAAGCTATGTAGAAAAGATTATGAATTACCCGAATTATACATCTTGTCCGAGTTCACCTTAAAATGAAGCAAGATCGTAAACTGAATATCAAAAAATACTTGCCACATGTTAATCGCGATTTACGATCGATCGATCTCACTTACACAATCCAGCCGACATGCAATGCTCGCCGTGTTTGAAGCTCAGTATCATTTCCTTGTTACAGCGCAGTAAAACGGTTTTTTTCAAAGAACACGATAGGGTTGAAAATTACCGAAGCCTACACTATGGAATGATTAATAATAACAGTCCAAGCAAAAAGATCTGTACTGTGAGAAATACGCATATATGGATCACAAATCTGCTTTCTTCTCTATACTGTTGTAAAAAAATGCATTTTGAAATAAACAAGATTTACGCTTCAAATCTATATTGATAGTCTTAGGAAAGAGTTTCGTCCGGTGAAATATAAGCGTGATAATATGCGAAAGGTGTCAAACAGAAATTTGTTTTTAGGGCTACAGCGTTGCAAAAGTCCTTTCCTAAACACAAGTGCATTCTTGATTTTTTTCGAGATTCAAGCTTCCGAAAAGTTATTAAAAGCTCATTGGCAATTTTTTGTCCAAGGAATAACTTCTTTCCACAAGACCCCGCCCGGTATCAGAAAAGAACCACTCCATCTTTTAGAAAGCTTGAGGAGATCATAGTTATAGCTATATTGACTCCACTACTTTGGCCTATATTTAATGCTTGAGTCTGATTGAATCTAACAGGAGTTTTATCATGCCTAGGAAAGAAAAAATCTCATATCCATGAATTATCAACTACTGGTTATTGCAATGTCGGGGGATTTTATCACTTTACTTGCGGCGATTTGTTAATTCGCTGCCGACACCTTTACATAAAGGGGGGTTGCCCCTTTGCAATGTTGACTAAACCGAAAGGCACCGTACTACCAATAAAGCTGTAATTGTTAAAACACGTGTCTGGCACTATGTAACTGCCACAACATGCCGTATGAAAGGCAATTTATATTATTAGTTATATAGTTTGAGCAAGGCCTATAAAAAGCAATCGATTGCGAAAATTCAAAAATTGATACATTTCTAAATGGGACTTGTTTGACCGCACTCTTAAGCGGTCCGCCTTTAACCTCCACATTCCCCTCATCAATACGAGTTTTTGATAGAAAAAGCTAAACATTGGTTGACACATGCTCAAATACCGTCCTGTATTCTAAAGAAGAGCTGAAGATGCCTAGTTACCGGATTGTTGTACAAAAGACAACGTTGAGAACACTAATTTATTTGTGCAGTGATTCACTCTAGTCGAATTCTGTCGACATAATGCTAGACGACCAATATCGTGGAAAAATTTTATGGACACTCGTGTCGAATCATGTAGTTTTGAAAAACTCGAAAACACCGAAACGTTAGTTCCACTTACGATTTATAGAAACCTCGTGTAAATTACATTATGAAGGAAAGAACACAAAGAAGTTTCTTGTTATCTATGTGCACTGCTTGTACCAACAGTTTCTGTGATCAAAACGTCTAAAATGGATTCTATAAGCAGTGTACCTCTAATCATAGCAATAGCGATACTTTGTAATAGAAGGTACCTCTCTGCTATCTGCTTTCGCCTCTTCAGAACAAGCTTATTTTGTACCCTTTTTCATGTCTAGATAAATGTTTGATAACTCAAATTAGAAGAATATGAATGGTGCATTTCGTCTTTGAAAGATCTTGATTTTGCGTTGAAAGAGTCGGGATAAGATTTCGTTCCCTATTCGTGATTTCTCGGTGGTCAAAGCTTTCCTCTCGGAGTTTCAATGAATGGTCGATAGAACAAATTTTATGGATTCCAATAATCTATTTTGATTTCAAAATGAACCTCGTTGTACGCTGTAACAGCCAAAAGAAGATTGGGGTTTTCAAAACTGGACAAGTTTTACTATCTGCTCCTCAATTCTCCTCCTTGTGAAAAACGTATTTCTTGGTCATTTTCAATTTTCAAATAGTCGTTTGATAGCACATATTAAATATGTGTGAATGGTCATTTCACCTTTGGAAAAGCTCTCTCATTGCGCTGAAAGAGCAAAAACAAAATTTTGTTTTCCATTGAAGGATTTCTCGCTGACCAAAGCTTTCTGCAGGAGTTTTAGCTATCAATCGATAGATCAAATCTCAGTAATTTTAGTAATTTTGGTTTTTGATATGGACCTCTTATTACGCTGCAACAGCCAAAAGAACATTGGGCTTCGCAAAACTGGGAAAAAGGGCCGAGCAAAACATAATTTTGTTTTGATTTCAGAAAGCCAGAAATAGTATCAGAATCCTTGAGATTTGATATATCAGATAGTTGCTGAAGCTTCAGAAGAAAAGCTTTGTTCAGCGAAAAATCTTCGAACGAGGAGCAAAATATTATTTTCAATATTTCAGCATTGTAATAAAGCCGTTTAGATAATGAAATATATCATTCAAAATCTTTTGATTTGAGCTATCGACTAACTATTCAATTATCAAAAACGGTCAAAAAATACGCTTTTGCCAAGGGATTGAAAAGAGGAGAGGATAATTGAAGTGGCCCAATTTTTGCCATGCCCAATGTTTTTTTCGGCTGTCACAGCGTAATACTAGGTCCATTATAGAAAAGGTAATTATTGAAATATTAGATTTGATCTATAGACTGACTGTGGAAATTACGAAGGAGGAGCTTTGGTTAGCGAGAAACTTTCAATTATTAACAAAATGATCATATACTGGTTCATCACCTCTTCTTTCTGCATTCATATAAAAACGAACGCTTGTGAAGTACATGTTTCGTACAGCTATTACTATAGTTTGAAAGCTCGACTTTCTATGAACCTCGGCATTAATATTTAATATATGAATACTCGGAATTTTTAGTATTTTACTACATTTGCCGCAGTGTTATAATCGTTCATATATTTCCAAGAGAACTGAGTGGTGAACAAAAACATGGCCTCAGGCGGGAATCGAACCAGCGTTTCATCCATATCGGGGATGCGTGCTCTACCACTACACCACCAAGGTTCATTTGAACCATCACTCATTCTAACATCTCTATGTTAGCCATCAGCCACCAACCTTTGAGGTGTTTGGTCGCGTATGTGATTTCGCTTTATAAACCCAATTAGCTGACTGCATCTGTGATAACTAATATTCGAAATTTCTACTATTTTACTGCATTTTTTGCAGTGTCATAAAATAGCTAACATAAAGATGTTGGAAAATGAATGGTGGCACAGATGTGCCTCTGTGGTGTAGTGGTAGAGCACGCGTTCTTAGACAGGATGGTACGTGGTTCGATTCCCAACCGAGGCCGTGTTTTTGCTCACCACTCGATTCTCTTGAAAATATATCATAGGAGTCTCAAGGCAATGAGCATATGCACAGTAAAAAGGAAAAAATTAGATCTTCAGTTATGAACTGGATAGTAGCCCTTTCTATTGAGTTACCCCACAAGTTTCGGGCAATTGATTCATTTAATTTTTTTCAATTCAACTCGATTTACTGTCAAAAGGTGTGCAATGTCAAAGAATGTTCTACTTACACTCAGATGCAGCCGCAGCACCATCTCTCTATTCAATTGAAACTGTCTACCGCGAAGTGATGTTTCGATGTATATCTCCTGCAGTGATCGACTACGACCCTGTTGCTCGCGTAACCATCTGTGATAGTCTTCTGGCACTCAGTCTTTTGTCAAATTGATTATTAATTCATAAGAATTCTGGATCTACAATGAGAACAATAAGCGCCATACGTGCTGTCTGCCTTGCGGTAAGGAACGCCACCTTATTACAAAGCTCTGGTGTTAAGTTTGGGATACTATGCTTTCGCTTTTGGGGCATCGGCAGAGGATGCTGCTCTGGAAACTGCTCGTCATCGAGCATACAATCAACGTTGAATTCTATGTAGAACAGTTTTGAAAATTAGCCTTAGCAGTAAGAGAAGTATTTGGAACGACCCAGTATCTTTCTTCTGCGAAAAAAAAAAACTTTCAAGCGCACATTGCAAGGGCGACTCGCTACATTCTGAAGAAAGTGGACTGGATGACGTTACGACATCCACCGTATGGCTCTGTTATAGTTCTTTCGGCTTATTATATTTTCCATGCTCCAAAGCAGTACCTACGGAAGAAAAATATCTAAAGACTCAAATATTCCAAGGAGAATCAAGCCTTAAGAAAGTTCCGATCACAGAAAAGAGTTTAGCACGCGATTTATTCATATCGGTAACGCGTGCTATCACTCTACACCTACTCACCAACCACTAACAGGTTTGGTCGGGTAAGCAATATCGCTCTTAAACCCAGTTAAGCCGACAACCATTGTACTTATATAAAACCAAGACTTCTTATGTTTTTCACTGCCTTTTCGCATTGTTATGATGTCTAAGATATTCTTAAGAGAATTGAGTGATGAGCAAAAATTCGACCTCAGGCAGGAGATGAACCCGTGTTTCATCCATAACGAGGGCGCCTGCTACCACTATATAACCAAGGTCGCCGCTTACCCATCACTCATAGCTATGACGGAAAGTTATTGAGGGATGAGAAGCATAATGTCTGTTAGCTTAACTGGGTTTACAGAGCGATATTGCTTACCCTATCAAATCTGTTGCTATAGGCTGATATTTATGATAGAAAGAAATTGGAAAATGAGTAATGAGTAAGCGGTGGCCTTGGTGGTGCAGTAAGACGGTTGCTCGTCTTGGATAAATCAGTCATATCCATCATAGAAAGAGAGCGATTTGCTGGAGCGGGAGTGAACCACAAAGAGAACGAGTTAAGAGCGAAGATAAATCGCTATCTTCGCTTGTTTTGTCAACTGCGACAGCTTGGTTATCGATAACTATTCCGCGTACTATTACTTCCTCAAAAAAGCTAGCTAATTAGCGCGAAATTTGCTTAGTGTGATGGCTGAAGAAATGTTTTGGAGCTGAGCACTTTTGATCAGTGTGCAGCAAGTGGTCTAGTGTTTATAAAGGAAAACCAACTTTTTACCGATCTTCAATCTATGTGCAACATTTTTTCAAAGCTTTCATCTCATCTTTTCTGGCCCTTTCCACACGATAAAAATGTCATCGCTATCAATTTTTGACGAAGTTTGATTGCTACACATGTTTAAGTCTGTGGTAGCGGCTTTCACGGATCCGTTACTACTTCTCAAGGCAATGGTACAACGATCCCACAAACGAATTCTCAATAGCCCTGCCGCGGCAGCAGCTTTGAGGATCGCGACAGCGGCGGGCCAACTCCAAATAGGCTCTGTTTGACCCGCCATTGGGGTAGGGGTTCCAGCCCTATATACATGTACAGTCTATAGTCATCTCACCTTATAATCACCCACTGCTTCCCACCTTCGGTATTGTGCCTTGCGCAGGGCATGCATAATCGCATCCCGAAGTTTGCCGCTTAGTCAACTCCCGCAACTCGTCTCTCAATGTATCGGCTCGTTCTCAACAGTCTCTTGCTGTCGGCACAATGATCGATACGCTGTCATGAAGTACATCTTATTGTTATGTTACCATCATAATGACATATATATATACGTATATAAAAGGATAAAGCTCTCGGCGTTGATCAATCCCTGAGGGATGCGCCATGCATTCAACTTCAATTTTTACTTCGTTTGAGGTGATTGAATGCATATCTGGCCTTTGAAATGACTCACGGTGGCCTCCCGCTGAACCGAGTCAGTGCTGCTTATCCTCCCAGACAAGTCTGAGACCTGTCTGGTACCGAATTACCGATCCCGGAGGGATGGATGGCTTGGTGAGCCATGAGCGCGAGATCGAATCATTGACCTCGTGTGCGACGCAGAGCACCTCTAACCACTGCGCCACATGCGCTCTATATATATATATATATATATATATATATATATATATATATATATATATATATATATATTATACTAGGTTATTATTCAAATGGGTTAATTCCATCGTTCAATCGTTGTCTATACTCATCGTACTATTCGATAAAAGACTATATCCTCGAGCTCATCCACAGCTCTAAGACACGCGTGCCCCTCACAGAGAACAGTCGGGGCACTCAAAAGAAAACCCTACTACAGGACAAAGTTCCTTTCTACTCAAAACATATATGGCGTGGCTAGCACCGGCAGTTCTCTCAAACAGCACATCAACGTGCAACATATGTGCTCAAAGAATTTCTACAGCAAGACACCTAGGCACAATCAACAGCAGAGGAAACTCCACACCATTGCCTCTGAGACAGAGTCTCTTCTCCTTTCATCCTATCTGGGAAAATATCGTTACCTGTGGGCAGGAAATTCAAATCCCATCTCGAGTTAGTAGTAGGATCGGCAAAAAGATCCTAGTTTACACGAGAAAGTTTGAGCAATTCAATGCACCGGCCTAATTGCCAGTAATGTGACACCGATCGCATTGTCACTCGCTCAGTTTATTCTTTCAGCACCGCTATCAAGGTTTTGAATCTTTCAGCCCCTCAAAAATAGCAGTCAATTCAAGAGAACCCTTCTGATAAACTTTGACATCAATAACATTAAGTTGACCCGAATTTTGTGACCGCAGTAGTAATAGCAGTAGGAGTGAAAGCAGTTCAAAGGGACATGTTTCGGCAGCTTTGCCTTCTCTAGAGCCCGAAAGTATTTTGTCAAAAACGACTTGAATTAAAAATTTTCAATATGCCTGATAATAATGATAAGTCAGCCTTCCTTGACAGACCACTGACATGGTGGCTCAAAAAATGATTATCAGGCTTATTGAAATTTGAGCTGTGGTCTTGAGAAAACACTCGAATCGAAAGATAATAATTTTCAGTAACTTAATTAATGAACAGTCGGCAACTTATACAATGAGCAATAGTCAACAAAATTATGTTGATTAGCGCAGAAGTAATAGCGGTTAATGAACTGTCGAAAATTTGACTCGTTATTGGGATGTATCAAAAATCGAATGGGCGCAAAAACTAGAGTCTGAAATCGCAATTACTTAGATAGAGACATTAGTACTGAGTTTGGTTTTTGGGAAAACCCTCTTAGTGCGCAATACCAGGAAAGACGAATGTGTAGCTTTTGTTTAGAATTTTGAAAGACTAATACTTAGCTTTTAAGGTACTTAATCCGTTGTTTGAACTTCACAGCAGATTTTGCTGAAGTTTTACAGTAAGGCTTGAAGGTTTTACATTTCTCAATATTAAAATTTCTTGCTCATAATACTTACTTGGGCCTATATCCTTTGATAACATATATGTTTAGCAGTTCCACAGCAGTTTATGTAAAGTTGTCTCCTTTAGCATCCAATTTCTGACGACTCTTCACAATAAAATACACGGTATGCATATTGCTTGCTTTCAATGCCATACCAGTCAAAATGAGGCTTTGTTTCACTTATGAAGATTTCTCGTCTGTTAAAATTTTGTTCTATAACAAAATTTTGGCCATTAGATATTTAAAATCTTTCTGATTAAGAAAATATGTTTGCTGTTTAGTATTACACCTGTACACACAACCTGGCCGACTAGAAGTGCTTACTGAGTGTGAACCCAATATTCTTTCGGTTGCTGCGAAGCTCCAAAGAGTTATTTCCGAGAGCCAAATACACCATTATGATCGAAATGATTTCCTCTATGTGAAAATTAAAAGCTTATTACAAGAAAATTTTTGTATAGTGATAAATCTTCGAATGAGAAACAAAATCTCATTTTGACTGGAAGGGCGCCAAAAAATAACGAAATGAGTAGAAGCCATAAAGTTCTAGTAGCACGTTTAGCTCAGCATCGTACTTGTCAAACTATTTTTTAACTTACAAACTTCAGTTGGCATGTTGACTTTCGGGTACTTTATACGATGAGAGGACATCAAAACAGAAAGGTTTACGTGGCAATGGTCAATTTCAGAAGTACGAAGCTACATGTAATTTGTACAACAACTCATTCAGTAGTGGCTTTGTACAAAGAGGAAATGTTGTTGATACAATGAATGAAACATAAATGTGATTGAAATGCCAACAGATTTAAATAAGATAGCGTAAAAATGTTTGATAATAGTTCAAAGTATAGCTTTTCTATGTGTATAATTTTTCCTTTGAAAAAGATGGTTAAGAGGAAACCCTGACGTCGTTCCTTCTATACACTGGGTAGTATTCCATTAAAAGGATGACTGACAGTCTTTGGTCATATTTTCCTTATTATAATGCCGCAGCTTGCGCAATGTATTGATCTTAAGTTCTTTTATTTCGTCGCTACGTATTATGACAAATGCTGATCAAAAATGGAGCAACTTTTCCTCATTTTCAAAAAAATTTCCTCATTTTTTGACTCAGGTGACATATCG